CCAGGACTCCACGTCATTAGGAGGACTTTTATTGTAGAAGACCATTATACACCTCATTTGATGAAGGACAGAACCACTGAAAAGAAACTCAAGTCTCATACTATTATTGTGGAGTCCTGGTATGGTGCTGTGGGTTAATGTTCTAGACTGCAAGGTAGTTTTGAACTGCAAGGTCAACGGTTCAAGCTCACCAGCTGCTCCTTGGAAAACCCTATATAGGGTGGCTATGAGTCAGAACCAATTCAACAGCACTTACCAACAACCTGCCATTTAATTGGAGTCCTGGTGTAGTGCTGTCGGATAAGCACTTGACCACCAGGTTGGTTTGAACTGCAAGATCGGCAGTTCAAACTCACCAACCACTCATCGGAAACCCTATACAGAGTCACTGTTGTTTGAAACAGACCCAATGGCACTTAACAACAACATACTATTTAATCAAGTTGGCATAACAATTACGCACTCAGCTGCTAATGGAAGATTTGTGATTCAAACACAACCAATAGTTCCAAGGGGGAAAAAGATCTGGCAATTTCTCCCATAAAGATGGCTGCCTAGGAAATCCTACGGAACAATTTTACTCTGTCACATGAGGCCGCTATGAGTTAAAATCAACTTGATGGCACACAACAACAACAAACCATTTCATCAGTACGACTGACCAATGCCATCTCCTTGTTCTCAACCACCGCCTTCAACCTGGCCACTGAAATTGTTCCTCCACTGGGTTACAGACCAGTGGATTGGCCAAGATCATTTGCACTTGCTCCCCACCTTCTATATTGGTGTATTTTCATCACTTAACTCAGTAAAACAGTATGAAGATCTGAGACCAATCACTAAAACCTTCCTTAGCAGGGAGGACCCTGGAAGGCAGTGGGTTCCCAGCTGGGGCTCTGCTGTAGATTGTTCAAGTGGTGTGAATGAGAACATGTGTCTGTAAGATGTTGGAGAGTTCTACCTACGTGGCACCAGACTGACAACAGCATTGTGAAAGGTTAGATCGGAACCTTAGTGGGCAGTGAGTTTCTGTAAATGGGGGAGGAACAATCTGGAAAAGGAGGGTAAGAATGGTTACAAAACTTAAATCATGCAATCAAGATCACACTGAATTGTACCTGCGGAAATTGTTGAGTTGGTATATGTTATTTTATATGTTGGTATATGTTTTTAAAATAAGTTATTTAAAAAAATAATGCTTGGAGAGTTCCAAGTCTCTGAAAAGATACTCACAGTGCCATATCATCATAAAGCCCCCGGCCCTTTTCCCCCTGGAGCTGAGAGGAGAATCTAGTACATCTCTCCCTTTTACAGATGAGAAAACTGAGATCCAAAGGAGAAGTATCTAGCGAAGGTCACATAGTTTGTGGCACCTGTAATTAGAACCTGTCTCTAGTAGATTTTCATTAGTGAGGGAAAGTGGGTGGTAGGGCAAGAGGGGGCACCACTATGATTATTTTGGTGAATAATTTTTGCACACCTACTATGTACCAAGCTCTTGCTAGGTACATAGGTACAGTAATGAAGACGTCAACTGCAATCCAGGCCCTCGTGGTATTTATATTCTAGCCGAGAAGATAAACATTTAATTACACAATCATTTAATTACAATTGTGTTGAGTGACTTCACGGCACATAACAACAACAACAACAACCAAGCTTTTAACAGGGAAACAACGTAACACATAGCATACACTGTGGGCCTAGGAAAGCACACTAAGACTTGAGAGAGCAAAGATTGAAAAGATACGTAAACCAGGGAAGAAGAGAGGAAGGAGACTAGAGGTAGAGGGAGCAGCACTAGCCAAGGGGAAGCAGAGTAAAGATAAAGTTGGTGTCCCTGGAAAAGAGTTCATTGCTGGAGATATTGGGTTTTGCTGCTCTCTCCTTCCGTCTGTGACGTCCAAAAAAAATGCTTTCTACTCTGCAGGTGGAATCACTTTTGTTCCCAGAGCTAAAAGGATATAACCTGGTTCTTGAGACTGTGAAAACTGAAGAAAAATTGGTTTCTGATTTAGTAGATGAAATTTTTGAGGTATTCCAGAAAAACAAAGTTGGCCCTCACAAGTAAGTTGATCCTTTTAACTTCATGACTGTATTACCTGTTAGTTAGCCATTTGGCATTGGTGTAGGGTTCTTCTTGCTGTTGTTAGGTACTGTCAAGTCAGTTCTGACTGTGTACAACAGGAGGAAACACTGCCCAGTCCTACGCCATCCTTACAGCTGTTACGTTTGAGCTCAAGGTTTGCAGCCACTGAGTCAATACATCCCATTGAGGGTCTTGACCATCATCAAATAAAAATCCTGTTCCCACACACTCTGAAACACATACAGATATGTGTATGAGGAATCCAGGAAATTAAAGTGCATTCCATTTTATAGATAAGGATACCATCATTTTTCCAAGGTTACACGGCACTGAAGTAGGAGAACCAGGATTCCAATTAAATTACAGGTTCACCTTCATGATCTGACGTCTTTAGGCCAGATGGGTTTTGCATTTAGACATTTTTGGGTTTTAGAAAAGTAACATGATGCATCATATATTATTCAGCTGTTTCAGAGGGGTCCAGGACAGCACCCCTTATTCCAACACATTGATATGTCTGTAGATAAACCTATGAATAGCCGCATAAATAGTCTCACATTAGTTTTAGGCCAGCTTTTGCTACCAAATAATTTTTTTTAAGAAACTTTGTTTTTAGACCTCTTTTGGGTTTGAGTACTGGTAATCTAGGCCCTTGCTCTTTTATGCTGCAAAATACTTCACTGTTACTCATGTATATATGATTATTGCTCCTGCTGACCGCAAGGTCAGGGGTTCGAATCCACCAGCCACTCCATGGGAAAAAGATGAGGCTTTCTTGTAAAGATTGACAGCCTCAGAAACCCAATACAGGGTCGCTATGAGTTGGCACTGACTCGATGGCACATCACCACCACCATCTCCACCTCCACCCACCACCTCCACTTCCTCTAACACCTCCACCACCACCAACAACAACACCTCCACCACCTCCACCTCCACCATCACTAACACCTCCACCACCACCACCACCACTAACAACACCTCTACCACCACCACCAACACTAACAACACCTCCACCAACACCAACAACACCAACAACACCTCCACCACCACCCACACCAACAACATCTCCACCACCACCACCACCAACAACAACAACAACAACAACACCTCCAACACCAACACCTCCAACAACACCACCTCCACCATCACTAACACCTCCACCACCACCACCAACACTAACAACAACTCCACCACCACCACCACCAACAACAACAACACCTCCAACACCAACATCTCCAACAACACCACCTCCACCATCACTAACACCTCCACCACCACCACCAACACCTCCACCACCTCCACCTCCACCATCACTAACACCTCCACCACCACCACCAACACTAACAACAACTCCACCACCACCACCACCAACAACAACAACAACACCTCCAACACCAACACCACCAACACCTCCACCACCACGCACACCAACAACATCTCCACCACCACCACCAACAACAACAACAACAACAACACCTCCAACACCAACACCTCCAACAACACCACCTCCACCATCACTAACACCTCCACCACCTCCACCTCCACCATCACTAACACCTCCACCACCTCCACCTCCACCATCAC